TCACCAATGCATGTATTGACCCCAAAATCTAATCAGTCTGAGAAGGGACCATATCGAGGTCATGTTTGAAGTTTCAGGTTCAAACTCCTCTCCTGTAAAACGCTACACTGTTAACAGACAGAAACCCCCCCAAAAAACAACAAAAAAACATGCACACAGGCACGATAACAATACAAAAACTTAATATAAAAACTTAACAGGACCTGAACACAGACAAACAGGAAAGAGCCACACATGGATTTTAAGGCCTGCATCATGAGTTACAGGTGAAGTTACCAAACCCGTCTGTTCCATCTTGTTTGTCACTCATTTGTTAATGTTCTGTCTGTGCTTCCAGCTGATAAACCAGCAATTCTGGTGGTGATGCATCACACCTTCAATCCAGACAATGTTGTAGCTGAAAGCAGGAGACTGGTGAACAATCCAAACATTCTCCTCACTGTGGACTGTCTGTTTCACGACAACCAACTCCTCAATTGTCACCGCAATGATCAGATGTGGTATGAAGTCTACAACCTTCTTAGAGCTTCCCAGGTAAAGACTAGATTTACTGACACATTGTAAATGATGCGCATGTTGCAGTTTGTTACAAATCAGTATAACTAATGATCTTCTCATTTCTTCCTTCCAGCCCTCTGCCTACCAACCCTACAGACGTAAGTGTGACAGTAATCATGAACTTCAGGTTACAGATCAGAGTTTGCTCAAGTCTACTGTAACACTGGTCTCACAGTTATTAGTAGTGGGCTTGTGTAATGCTCCTGTTCATAGTTGATGTGAAGTTCTGTTAAAACCTCCTTCAATGTTGTGTGTAGAAAAATCTCCCTTTGTTTTTTCTCAACTTGAAGCTAAATTGTAATCATAACACATCAAGAATGCTGCATGTTAAAATGATAAACTGTACTGCTCATGTTGTTTTGTAGTTAAAAGTTTTATAAGTGGTCAAAAACATCAGAAATAATTCTGGCTTTTAGTAGACTTTTTGAGGACATGTTGTGACCATCACTAATATGATTAAATTTGCCAACTGACCCATAGACATACAGCGATGAAGGACAACTATAATATGCTGACTGACAATCCTACATGTGACAGACAGTATTTACATACCACAAACCATCCATTCATCCATTATCTATACACCGCTTAATCCTCACTAGGGTTGCGGGGGGCTGGAGTCTATCCCAGCTGACTCAGGGTGAAGGCAGGGGACACCCTGGACAGGTCACCAGTCTATCACAGGGCTACACTTAGAGACAGACAACCAAGCACAATCACATTCACACCTACGGACAAATTAGAATCACCAATTAACCTCAACATGTTTTTGGACTGTGTGGGAGGAAGCCGGAGAACCCGGAGAGAACCCACACTGCACGGGGAGAACATGCAAACTCCACGCAGAAAGATCCCGGGTGTCCTCACCGGGATGCGAACCGGCAACCGTAACGTAGATCATACAAACCACTTATTTGGAAGTAAAAACAAAGGTGTACAATCTATTAAAACTATTCCAACTATAATCCAAAGTGACTGCTGGGAGCCCCTACTGCAGTTTTAGGAGCTGTATCCATATAACAGGGGATTTACGTGGACATTTTGAGTATGATCACATTTATCTCTCTAGATGAGTTTTGATGACTTAAACTGGTTTAAGGGCTCATGGCCAAACCCATTTGTATTATATTTATTATTAATAAGGTACTATTGGGTGGTTCTGTGTTGTTTGATTTGTAAATAACACCAGATGGCTCATTGCTTTGTTTTTCTTTATTACAGGTATGATGAACATATATCCAAAGCTGATTTGTCTACTTCTAATAGTACTGGTGATTGTCACTGTGATAATCTTTCTTGTTGTAAGATTGCGCAAGGCCTCTCCAAAACAAGCACAGCAAAATCACACAGAAGAAGGACAACTGCCATCACTTTACACTTGAAGTGACAAAATAATTGTGTTATATCATGCACGTGCAATCACATGTAAAAATGTAGCTCCTGTCATGTGGTATTATTGGTTTGACTGTATCATGGCTGTGAAACTTTTGATCATGATATATCTGGAACACAACAGAGGGGAAAATGGCTTCAAAGAAACTCATTCTGATTTGATATGAATGTTGTTTTGCACTAAAGCGCATTCAGACATTCAGCTGATGTTAAAATGGGGTTTCAGCCATTTCAGCCAAACAGACCTCATCTGTTTAAAAGAACATCAAGGTATTGAGACAGGCCATCATTTTGGAATGCTATAGTTCAGACTGCTGAAGCCTCATATTATCTTGCTTGAATTCATATTTACCCAGAATGAAGAATGTATATTATCACGTACAATGAAATGTCTTTCTTTGTGACAAGTAGTTAGAGAAACAAAGAGTGTTTGTAATATGTTCGTTAGCATTATTTTAAGATGCACTTGAAAAAATGTGCTCATTTGTTGTTTATTGAGAATGTAAATGCAACTTTACCCAACATCTGACAGCAACTGTGCTGTTGAGATACAGGTTTTGTGACATTATATGTGTTTAAATGTGTGACTACATATGCTTATTATATGTTATGTGCAAAATATAATATTGAGATTATTATGATGACGTGTAAAGAATAAATACAAATTACAAAGTGGTTGTATTTGTATTTACGTCTTTGTAACTTTGTATCATCAGTAATGACAAACATTTCCATTTAAGTTCACTTAAGTTTAGGGTCCAGTTCATGTCTGGTCAGTACCAACCCAACAGTGATGAATAACACTGTCATGGTGCATGAATGCTTTTTATGTCAGAGACTAGGGGTCTGGTCAGACTGAATGGAACAACAGTGAAGTAAGAGAGCTCCTTAAAAAGCCTCCTCTGGAGTGACCTGAATAAAGTTTCACAATGTGCAGGACAACAATGAAACATGCAGCCCAGAAAGTGTTAGAAGAGTAGTGCCAGGACAACACAAGCCAAAGCCCAGAGTGCAACTGAAATGAAAACTGCATTAACTGTGATGGTGCTGCCAAACCTGGAGAACAAAGACATTCAGATCTACCTGAAGCTGTCATCAGTGAATTCTCTCTTTATAATACTGAAAGAATGTTCAGCCTTTACAGACACAAAGCTGGGATTGTGTGGAGACTGATTTTGACGGATATAATAAACGACTTAAAATTTAAATCAGAAGGACAACAAAATATGAAGAAAGTGAAGGAGTTTAAATACTTTTTATAGCCTTGTTGCATATAAAAGAAGCTCTGTGCTCATTTGTGTACTAGCAGTCTCACTAGTTTACTACTCTCTCTCTTCTCTACTCATGAATAGCTACCATGTGTTACCAGGCTGAAAAGTGAATGTAAAGACTATTAACGGTCCTCTGAGCAAGCAGAGCATCTGTCCAATGAAAAGTAAGAACATTTTAAAATGAATGTCCAAAAAGAAAAATAGTCAAATATCTCAACATTTGCACTGGTTTCAAGTCCCTTTCTGGAGCTGAAGTTTAGTTTGTTGCGTCCAGTAGAAGAATTTCTCAGTTTACGTAATACTTGCAGCATCAAAGAACAGCAGGATTCATATGAACGTGGTGCACAGAGTTGTGCACATTTATGCGTGTGGAACAGTGGTAATTTCAGTAATTACTTATAATTATACAGTATCCCTAATGTGGAGACAGGATCGATTAGGATCAAATGATAAAGACACTTAGAAATACAGAATGCTATCACTTTAACAGAGTGATGAAGCAGCAGTGTTACACATTCCATGTCTGAAAAGGGCTACAAATCGAAGGTTTCCATGAACAAAATATTTGTTGGATTATGTGTTCGTATCTGAACTCCCCACACCATCCATAGATCTTAACTACTGAGGTAGCAGTTGGCCAGGTATGCAAAAGCACAACACAATGATTAACTTTGAGGCGAGACTGTGAGCAGCAAGTGTGCACAATTCATTGTGCCAAGAAAGAAAACATTAAAAAAAAGTTAACAGGGAGGGATTGTGAAGCGTGATGACGACATGCAGGAGGCGGCTATGACAGCAGCCTTTTTGACACAGCTTTGAGTGTAGCCTTTCAGGAACAGGTGTGAACATTTTGGCTGTTTGACGTAGTTCAATGACATCATATGACCTGGCTTGTTTGAAGCATACTGACACTTCAACTCTGACCAGCTTCTCCTACTACTTTATGCAAGAATATGGTATTCACATCTTCAAGCAAACAGATCTGTATGGTCATGACACCACAGTAAATTCCATTTAAATCAGTGTATTGCCAGCACTTCAGCCATTCTGGTTTTTGCGCTCTCTCTCTCTCTCTCTCTCTCTCTCTCTCTCTCTCTCTCCGCTTGATAGCAGCTCTGCACTGAGCACTAGAGGCCTGGAGAAGAGGGATTAGTTAACATGGGGGGACGGGGTGGGTGAGTTGTTAAGGTCACGCCTCTGGCCTAAAAAGGCGAAGCAGAATACCAGCAGCAGTGGGCCGCTCTAAGAATAACTCAGGGCCTGAGGCTTAGAAACATGGCATGAATGTAACAGTACCTAATTAGATTCAGACTTTTATGGTTGGGTGTAGACCATGTTTAAAACCAACAAATAAATGGAAAGATTTTGATGCTTAAGATAAAATTTCCAACATTTTAGACACATTTTTAAAGTGTGAAATCACTGTCCACACTGTGATCACGTGATTCCAGCAGCAACATTGGCTGGAGGGATAAAGTTACCTTGAAGCTCTCACTCTCAATCTCTCTTCCCTCTTTCCCTTCCATCGTCCGTCAGTTCCCGTGGTCGATCTAATTCTGTCCGAGCCAGTGGAGGTGGGGGGGGGACAAGCTGCTCTATCTACAATCCCAGCCCTAACCGGCAAAGGGCAAAGACACTGACCACCTCAACTTGGTCTGTGTCTGTCTCCCCAGCCTCATCCACTGGGACGGAAGTCAGCTCTCTGGACCACCTTGCAAGCCATTTGGACCCATCAAGAGTTTTTGACCTCTGGAACAAGAAAGAAAAGTGCAGATTTAAGATCTGAGAATGGAAAAAGAGGTGTAGTGTTACTTGTGGTGGCCAAAGAGTTCAGGTTTTCCACATATCCTCAGCACCAGCCATTCACATGACGTTGCTGGATGGGAATTAAACACTGGGATTAAAACGTGTGGAGGAGTTGAGGATCTACCACAAATATTTGATTTCATGGCAACATAATCAGCACAAAGGATTAATTGTTGGAACTGAACATTTATTTTGAAACTATGACTGAAGCAGTGGAAGGTAACGTATCACACATTCAGTGTTACTGTTGATAATGAGGATATCTTTTCAAAACATTGTTAGGAAGCTCTTCTTGGCCAATGCATGTTTTGTTTTGCACGCAGTACTTCTAATGTTGTGCTGTGTGGTGTGTAGGGGCATTTCATGATTGGAAGTAGCTAAAAATATGCTGCTATCATGTATCTGCTATTTGTAATGCAGCTTTAAGACCCCTGTGACATCTGCAGTGCTGTATAGGATCAGTCAGCATCAACAGTGTGCCTCCAGTTGTCTATAACCATATCAGCTGATGCTGTGACACAGATTTAACTGTTTTTGTCTGCAGATAATGTAAACAAGAGGGTATGTGAGCACAGAGCAGTTGCTGCTGCCATTAACATTTGCAGGCTTGTTATTTTCAGATCTCATGAAGTTGCACACCAATGACGCACCTACACAGGTGGTTCCACTTATTTTGGCTGACTAAATGTCTTCTCAGGACTGTGTGGGCGTTTGCAGACTGTACTTGATTGACCACCCCATGAATCAACCTGCACCTTTACAGAGTTGTTAGGTGGGAGGATTTGCTGTTTTTTTTTTCTCCATTCTGTTTTCCCATTTCAGATTTTCCTTTCCTCCTTTCATCTTTATCACCTAACACAAAAATATGAGACTCTTCTGGATGATGTAACAAACCTACAGGTTTGTGTAACGGCCACCAGTTTGAATTATTTCAGTGTGATCTCTGGTCATGTTGGCATGGTAGATGAAACACTACAATACCCATGAGACTCACACAATTCAAAATGCACCACTCACAAATGTGGCACCACAGCTGCTGTATTCAAAACTGACACAGATTTTCATAGAAGTTACTAGTTCCCATTCACCCTTAGTAAATGGTAATGCATCTTGGGAGTCGTAGTGAATGTCGACTAAATTTGCACACAAGCTCGTACATTCAACTTTTTATCAAAGAACCAGGTTTCACTGAGAGAGAATTGAAGGGTTCTTGCTGATTTCAACCACAGAAATGTTACAACAATGAAAGTATAGCATTTTCTATTGGAACAATGAATAGGACTGGATATTATGGTGTGTCACAACTGGAGATGCAAATAAAGCACATTAAAATGAAGTTGAAGCACCTTTGACTTGATAAAACAACTGATCAGCCAGACTAAGTGAAAGCACCTGTGTGGCTCTGAAGCTGCTTTAATTAAAATAATGAGATGATAATTATCTTAAAATAAATACTGCATTACCTCCACATTAAAAATTGTGTGTGAAAAAAAAAACAGCGTAATCTTAAGGTCCACTTAAACTAGCTTTCCTGGAGTCACCAGTTCCATGTTATGGTCCTAATTAGTGGACATAGTTGGTCATAACAACTAAGAACAACTGCATCTATGATTAGTGGCTTTCCGAGAAAAAAAAAAAAAGAAAACCTTGTGTTAAGATTTCTCCATTAAACTACTATTTTTATTTTTTAAATAATGATATTTCAAATAACTACATAATTATTTCAGGACATCATGCTGTTATCACGTTATTATTTCTGAATTATCTTCCTTTTTTAAAGAAAACAAATTGTGGATTTGTCCTCCTCACATCGACATGACTTGCATAAATGCCGAAGTGTGACAGCTCACAATCATCCTAATGATATATAATCTTTATATTAATGAATAGTTAACCCAGAACACTGCACTTAAAATTTATAGCTCTTAGTACCCTTCAGATAACAAAGTCCTGCTAGGTAAATCAAGATCATAACATCAGATGTTCTGAGATCACATTTTGCACTTGGCTAAAGACTGAACAAGGGAAACATTTGGAAAGTATGCTATAAATCTTGGCTGAATTTTACATTGGAATATTAGATGCACTGATTCTACTGATTCCATTCCATTTTCCATTTTCAGAGGCTGCAAAATATGTACTTTATATTTACTACTTTTTGACAGGAATTGTATTTAAGAGCAATCATGGGTACTATAATAGAATACAAGTCCAGTCAAGAGTTTACAAAGTGTTTGCTATGGAAATGGTCCATGGTTGAGGTTATGAATGGGATAAACAGGGATGAGAATTGATTGCTGTGAGACAAAGAGCACACCAACCATAAATGTGACTATAAAAAATGGAGAACATTCACAACAGTGAATATATGTAAAGCAAAATATGCTGAATTCTGACTAGTTTGTGTATCACATACTGTTGTTTTCTACCTACAGATTACAAATAACAGTCCCTGTCACGTAAACAAATGATCTATATTACTGCCTGTTGTCTCTGTTGTAGTATTTAGGATGTGATGCCTGCACTTTCTATTCATACTAGTGACCTGTACTCCATTTCCTCCCATTATTGCATCCTAAACTGTGTAAGTGTGCAGTCTGCAATGTTAACATGAACATTACAGCAGATGCAGCATTCCTTTGAGACAGAGAAACAGAAGCTTGAATCAAGTTTTTAACTTGATTAATAGCCTCCATGCTCAACCACCCGAATCTTAAAGGTCTCTGCTGTGCTTAGTTCAGCTCCGGGCACTCATTAAGGAAATGTTATGACTACACTTGCCTGTATTCTGACTCAATAGGCAACTACTAGCTCCTAATGACTGCTTTGAGCTGAGCTGTCATGGATACCCAGTGAGAGCAACAGCAGAAATGTCATACACAGCGTGGAGACAGGTCAGCCATAAAAGGAGGTATCATGCATGGATGGATGATTAAACCATTTAAAGTTGGGCTTAGAAAGCAGTGGTCAACAGAGGGATCAAAGTGAAGAGAGATGGAAAGATTTACACGGTATTGACGCATAAATTTCCGGTAATGGTGCCCAAAACGCCCTCACTAGACATCGTGTGTGTATTCCTGACATCTTAATTAAGGATTTTGCGGCAAGTGGAGCTCACAGAATGACCAAAATCCTTTCTTAGACAATACAGCATTACAATTTGGATACTCCTGGTGTACAACGTAAATATTTTGTCTATCAGTGTGACTTGGGAAAGGTGACGGGTCAGTAAAAAACCAAACACATGGTGTCAATGTTTAAGTGGAATCGAAGAGCAGATTTGCTTAGTGTTGCACCACATAACAAAAACAGGAACCTAATGGCAGCACAACATAAAAAGATGGCCATGGAGCAAAACTTGACCTGACAGTGGTCCAATGAAAGAACCACTGGAATCCCACACATGGTTTAAAATGTCATGGCAATTTGACCAACAATGGTAAAACATAACAGTGTGGACCAAAGTGTTTAGTGGTCATTTTAAATACCGACAGACACCACCACATGACTGTAGCATGTGTTCAAAGGTAGAAGAGGAAGCACAACTCTAACTAATACAGTAACTACTACTAAATATGCTCTGATAGCTATTCCCTGGCATTATCTTTGGTAAAAATGCCAGTAGTCACTTTCAGTAAGTCCTGTCTATTGGTAGAAGATTGTAGTTGCACTGGGCAGCTGCCATTGCGGATATATGGGTCTATATCATACCAAGTTACTCAAAAAAATCTTAACTTTAACAAGTCCCAATAGGCTAGTTTGGCTAATGTAGCACGCCTAAAGTTAGTTTGAACAATGGACTCGTGTCTAAATGTGAACTTCACCTCTGCTTTAGCCTATTTTTTGCTGACTTTGAAAGTATTGTAAATGTAACAGATAAGATTCTATATTCCAGTTCATGAATTGTAGGAAATTTACAGGTGCTTCATAATCTTGCAACTACCTTATTTATGTTTGAATCATAAACTGCTCATAAAGATGAACATTGGTTTTAAAGCAGAACTTCTAAAGCTCTGAACTTCCAGGCTAATTCAAAAGTGAGCAAATTGCTAGAACGTGAGTGAAGCAGAGATGGGCCATGCAAACCTCTCTAGGCCACAGACAACTGTCACTCAAATAGGGCACACATTTAATTATGCAGAACTTTTAGCCTTAATACAATTCAAACAGATGAGCTATATACAGATTCAGTGCAATGGGGAAGTTAGCAATAGTGACCAAAACAGTTTTTGTACCACTCTGTAAAGATATATATTTTTTTAACGCTGTAAAGTTAGACATTTTAACATGAGGGTCTATGGAGACTGACTCAGTTTTGGAGCCAGCCTCAAGTGGACATGAGGGGAACTGCAGTTTTTAGCATTTGGCAAAAGGTTCATGCTTGGTTCAAAATAATCTAGTGCTAATAAAGCATCTAAGCCATGACCTATCGAGATAGATAATTGATGATTATTGTTTGTTTGCTTCTTTTTTTACCATCACCTTACCAACATGATAGCCATTGCAAAGACAGCCATGACTTGACTTTCAATTTTTAACTTTATGCATAGTCACCATATAGAGAATAGAATCTTCTTGCATTTACATCAAACTGCTTCTCTCTTGTACATTAAATCACACCTGGGTATCTAGTGTAGTTAATCCTGATCATATTTTAAATTTGCTGTAGTGAATTGAATGGCTTGTCTTCTCCCTCTCCTTTTAATACGGTAATTTTTATGATGAGTCTTCTTTATACGTGACCATGTTGCACACATGTCTCAGGTTGCACAGTAACATGGAAAATCAGCAATTACCCTTCATGTTCTTCAGTTTTACGCTCAGTGGTGACACAAGTAAATGTTTAGGGTTTGCCACAATCATCAGGAATTACAGTCTGGGAACCAGGTGATGCAACCTTTGTGCTTGAGTGGGTTGCCTGGTGCTCTATCTAATTAATTTCTTGAAAAACTAGGATGTCAAACTACACTGAAATGTTTCAGAACAGTTAGCACCATTTACTCACAGCCATCAAGTGCCATCACAACCGTCCTACCATAGCCTTTGGGAGGGTTAAGATGCAGTCGCTCGTGTTTTGAACGGACCTGTTGGAATCAGAGTCGTGAGGTTAGATGGAGGAGTGTGTGTGAGATGTGTGTTAAGCGTGCTGCTAAGCTGTCTGACTCAGCAGTAACAGAGTAACCTACAGTAGCTGCCAACAGTGAGCTGAAGAGACCCAACAGGTGGTCAGAGCTTTTCTAACGCACTCACACTGACAGTAACAACTCAACTCTGACTGGCTTTATGACGCAAAACAAACAGAATCAAAAAAGATATCAGGTGCTGTTATCTATACCTGCAGTATTCTTATTTGCATATAAATGACTTTCAGTTTCGGAAAGTCATAATAACAAGCCTGGGTCAGGATAAAGAGTCTGTTGTTTTCTAACCTTCGGACCATGAATGGTACTTGACCCACATTCTACACAGAAGCAGGCAGACACATCTCCTTATAAAGTTATATCCTTGAAATATGAATTGCAGTGCTTGAAATTTATGCACTCTGAAAAGCGGACTGCTGTGTACATCTAGCACAGAAAGTATTTAAAAAGCTGCACTAAATAACATGTTTGAATAATTAGAAGCTAAGGCTAGCTAATTCAGTTGCTGTAAATGAGAACACCAAACAAAAAGAAACCTTGACCTGCACTGACTGATACTTGTGATATAGACTTTGGCTAAAACTTCTATCTTCTAGTCACTATGCATGGAAATTGGCTACATGAATACCTACAGGTATAGCTGTATCTCTAACTGTGCTTTGTGAAAACATTTATGCTAACTCCTGACTTTAGCCTTTACTGGAAGAGCCTTTAGCTCACTATAGTTTTAGCTATATCTGCACCCGCTATGGCTAAAGGTATAGCAGTTATAGCTAGCTGGCGTTAGCCGCTATAGCAGCTATAGCGAGTTAAAGACAGTAAAGACAGGAGTTAGCATTAATGTTTTTACAAAAGGCAACTGTGAAAAACAGCTAAAACATAACCTCTTTGGTGGAGGTAATAACATACCAACAATATAACAATAACAAGCTAATCTAAATAGCAATAAATTAGAGTGGAAATATTAAAAACTTAAAGGTTTATGGAAGGCTAGAAGAAGAAGACTAACAGACATTGCCTGTTTCCAGCTTGTGGATAACTTACATTCTTGTTCCAGAGAGCATAGGTTAATATTTTTCTAAAGTCTATTTATCAAAAACCTTTAAAAAATAATTACAACTGTATGTTGTATGTTACATATAGTACATAATCTATATCTACAGACCTGCAGACCTGCCCACAGCTTTCCGGAAGAAAATAAGCGATTTGACAAAATGGCGGACTCATTTAAGTGCAGTTGCTAATGAACAGAATCTTCAACAGTGACCAATAGCAGAGGAGAATATTTTAATGAATACTTTTTTTTTTTTGTAAAAATTTGTTTTTATTTTTTTGGGCAGATTTTCTACATGGTTTAGCATCAGTGTTTATCAACCTTTGTAGGCAGTTTTAGCTTAATAAATAAATAAATAAATAAATAAATATATAAATAGCTCTGACAAATCCAGTTTAAGCCACGTGTCTCGCACCAAACAGCATATTAAGCTAGCAGCTAGCTTGTGAACAAAGTGAAGTGCTGTGGTAAGATATAGGCTAAAGAGATAGATATATATACTTTTTTACTGAGCAAGTGGAGACCAAAACTAAACTGAAATTACACATTTGACTTATATTTGTTAAGTAAACAGCAACATGACTACATGGATGCTAATGTTGCTAACATCTGTTGGATGTAAATGAGGTGTTTGCTGACAAGATACTAAAATAACTGTCTGTGGGGGTCAAGGTAATGTCTCTTGGAACTGAAACAATTGTTGATGAAAACATTAAAGAAAACCACAATTTCTTTCCTCAATAAGCATTGATGTGTGTGCATTTAACCTACACTGACAGGGTTATCCAGTCTTTTCATGTTGTGTTCTTGTTTGTGAGAGATGTCAAACACAAATGAACTTTTTTGGTAGATACTTGCAAGAAGGAATCTTAAAAGCAACCGATGAGGAGCCACAGATATTTTAACTACCTATTTAACAATGTATTCAAAGATATCTGACACTTTCCATGTCAGGTTTGCAGTCAGTAACCAGGAACGTATGCATTTCCTTGAGGCCTCATTACCACCTGCCACACATCCTGGCAATGACTCAGTAAAGGATCTGTTACATTCCTTTGAAGCATCTTTTCATAATAATAAATCAGTGACTTGTTGAAATCCCACCATGAGGGGCAGCTTGATTGGTGCAGAATGCTGGAAAGGATCTGGTAAAGATGATTTTCTTGCTTTGTTTTTCTTGTGATCATTTGAGAGTTATGTCCTGATTGACACCGTTCTTGTATGAATCCATCATAAAATAACACAAAATAATCATTGTGTCACCTCAGCTACACAGAAACTTTATCATGAGTTGATTATTATTGCAGAGAAACTACATTTTGCCTCTTCCCAGGTTCATTTCACTTTATGATCATTTTGGAGGCATTTTGCAGTTTGTTGGCCTGTTTTGCTTTGTATCACGTTAGAGACGGGTTTCTGATATTTAGTCTGCTCTTAATCATATAAATTGGGCATGCAAAATACTACAGATGTTTTACAGTATCTTACAACCTTGAAAATCCCCATAAAATTGAATCAGCTCCTCTTTGAAAAGTTTTTTTTAAAAGCAGAGTGTTATTTCCTTTCTGAAGAAGCCTTTGTTGCAGGGCTCCTGTCGTAGACTGCATTTGTTTTGAGCCTAGTTAGTTTTTCTACATATTGAATTAGACTGTGATTGTGTCAACAGCTGCTCCCACTGAAAACTTGAGGAAATGTATGTTTAGTTAAGGTTTCTGTTTTAAAAGTGTGCTCAGTATTTCAAGTTTCTTGTCTCCGGGCATATTAGGAATAAAAAGCAGAAAGAGCGTATCTGACCATGGCTTCTCACATTTCATATTTCATTCCTCAGCGCGGTCGTCGACCACCACCACCATGGTCATCGAAAGTAAGAATGGGGATGCTGGGTCACCACCTTCCCGGGTGTCCAAGAAAAGTTTTAAAGAAGATGTCTACTCTACGTTTAGCTCCCCGCTGGCCTGGATCTTGGTTCTGGCACTCGTCATTACATGGTCTTGTGTTTTCGTTATTATGTTTGATCTGATGGACTACAAGACCATTTCAGGTACACTAACACTCTTTCACTTTCATTTCATTTCTACCCAAGTTCGAAGTTTGCATGTTGTCTGTGAAGGTTTAAGGTGGACATTACATCACCATGCTGAGCACAGTCAGCTGTAATCAGGAAGTCACTGGAACCAGGCAGATTTGTTGGTCCAACTGGGTCTGTTCCACTGATAACCAGCTGTGAGCCAGCTCTGACCCATATATGGCTGCATGGTGTGAATTGAATGTAGGATGACAACATGGGTTATTTGTTACAGAATTTAAGTAAAGCTGGGGCAATGATAGATGGTCAATCTACAGTCGTTGACACATTATTCAACAAAGGTGTAGCACAAGTCTGACAACCAGGATACTTGGGTGCCATATGGGGGAAATTTTCTTAAGCGGTTGAGAGAAAACCTATCGGATACTTTGAAATATGTTTGATCACAAAGAAATGACAAAAGGCTGATGTTATGGAGATGTGTTTAACAGGACAGTGAAAATTCTGATTATTTGATTCATTTGTAAAATCCTACATTACATTTATTATTATTATCATTTGTTAAAGAATATTGTTATGTCAGGTTGTTTTTGGCTACAAGCCACATTGCTACATAAAAGTATTTAAAATCTTACTTTTCAAAATTTCTTTTAAAAACAACAACATACAAGCATATTTATTTGACAAACTTTATACAAATCATTGGGTGAGGAAACTGGAAAGCAAAACTCATGTTAGAAAACAAGAGGAGAAAGGTGTATAAAGTAAATTATTAAACATACATACAGTTACCAGTGTTACAGGATTAATCTAGTCAATCATTTATCCCTCGTCTTCCCTCGTCCTTAGATTGCTTTAATGTCTCCTGATTGAAAATTGACCTTTTTTCCAGTTATGTAACATGTACCTGTATTATTACATTGCAATATTTTTGGATAAATGTAATACAGAAACTCTACTCTTACAGAAGCAATACACGACGTATGTTTTACAGTAGGACAATGCAAAAACTGTTGCTAAAACTAGTGGCAATAGTAATGCTAAAGATGTGTTAGACTTCAAGGTAAATACTTCTGACTGGCTTTCGTGTTAAACGCTAGCAGACTCTTGAGTTTATTGTGTACATAACGACCATGTGAGACAGTCTACCTGAGAAGCAAAGAGAGAAAATCAACCCTCTGTGAATGTAATTTTAATGGCTCATTAGTGAAAACCAGAAATTAGTTTAATACAATTTGCTTTGTGCAAATGAGTTTGCTATCTGACCAAGCAGAACTGTAATCTGACTTCATTACTCCAAGCAAACAGTTTAATACTGCAGTATTTAAATGGGGTTGGCTCAGGTATAAACACTTCCACTGTGCGCTGAAATGTCTCTTCTTTCCTTCTCTTCCCTTTTTACATTTGTTGTATATATTTGTGTCTCATCATGAATGGCATTTGCATCATTTCTTTTCATTTTTTACTTTATATGTTTGTCTTATATGCTAGCAGACTTATGTTCTGGTACAAAACCTACTAATTTTACTAGTTCATGTAACAGTAACATCACTAAGTTGCAAGCATTAGTTCAGTTTCCTCTCATTGAAGAATCAATGCTTGAAAATCTCTATTTATTTAAGTTCATGTACATTAGATTTTCTAACCCCATCACAAACATCTCCATTCATTCCTCTTACATTTGATGCATTATTATCTATAGTTATCATCTTAAATGAATGGAAAACTATACAAGAAGCTGGAATAGTACAGCAAAACTAGTGCATAACATATAACAGGATATGCAGTGCGTACATTTAATTTAATGTCTTACATATTTACAATTTCACCTTGAAACTGAGAACAAGAGAAGCCCAAACACAAATCAATGTGTCCACTGAACTTCTCTTTTATTCATTCTGTCACAGTATTAATTACAAGTCATGTCATGTCACACTCAACATTTACAGTGTGAACACAGAAGTACTTACACCACCTTTCTCCACTTCTTCCTCTCTTTGCTTCACCCCTGTGCTTTAAGTCTTTGCTTATTGCCACTGTGTTTCTCATCCAACCAGGTCGCCCTTCTCCTGGCATCAGGAAGGTTTTAAAGGATTCAGGGCGTAGAGGCAAGGCACCCTATCTGCTACTAACACCTCAGACCGCAAGCTTTTTCCTAAAGATGCTAAACGACTAATTACCTAACATTGACTGCTCATGTTAGCTATCAATGTTAGAAAGTCCTTCACAGCCAAGTCTGTAGCTCCGTAGAAGGACGACAAAGTACGAGCTGCGTTCTGTCCGGTTCTGCCTTCCTGCCTGATGCTGTCACTATTCTAGGTGTTCGGATACGCAGTCATGTTATGAGCAGTTTGTACTCTCCTGCATCTATAATTTGTAATTATTTTCTTCATATTTTTTATGCCATCTGCATATTTCTGTGGGGAAAAAGAACATGTTCAAATATTTGAAACTCCAAAAGCAGTATTTTGTTTTAAACCAGACAAAAAAAGAAAAAGTTTTGGATATTTGAACTTCAGTCGAGCTCGGTTTAATTAGCTGTAAACATCAGTGCTGTGAGAAGCAGATATTCTGTCTTCAAAATGAGACGAATCAAGCTCTTCTGAAATCTCTGTCTTAGCATTTCAGTCGCAGCTTGCAGCTTTATTTCCAGCTGTATGTTCTACCTGTATTTTGTATGAATCTGGTCGCATTTCAGGATAATCGTATTGTGTTGCAAAACTTGTCGTGGGCAGCCGCATTCAGAAGGAACAATGTTTTGGTGTTTGCACTGGGAACGCTGGCCCTCTTTCATCAAACTGACTTGCACACAAGCACTTCTTCAGGGACTGAAAGTCTGCCGTAAACCTCTTTGTTTGTTCAGTGAAATTACTGCACAGCATCTTAATTAGTAAAGGTTTGATGTTAATATCAGCTGTACATTTTGCAATAGTTTTAAAGCAAAAAATTAAGTAAATGCAAAATTTTAAAATAAAAAAAACTTTAATATGTCAGAACACATAGTTAATACGTTGATGAATGAGGGTCAGTATGATCGTTCAGATGCTTTTTGCCCATCGTGGCGGTTAAACTGGAAGGTGGGTTGACGTTGTTGCTATAGGACACCAACTGATTAATAAACTACAAATTCAGATCCTGTAGCCCCATCCCAGTTTAACCCCCAGCTGTAGTTTAATGCTTTCCGACATTTCCTTAATCCAGAAGAATGGAAGCTTTGTCTGCACTGAGGAAATGTTAAAATAAAAGTTGAGGAAATGACTGAAATCTGATTTGTTTGGCTTGATCAGGAACAACAAGGAAAGCAACTTCAATTCAGCCTAAACAAGTGACTAAACCTAATGGTGTGTTCATGTCCACCGTCCACCAGGAGGCATCAGTAGGATCGGCTCAGACCCCATGAAGGCCGTAAACGATGCTGTGGAAGAATCGTCAAACGTAATCAGCATGGTATTCAGATTTGCTGCCAACTTGATTGCTCCTGAAGAAGATGAAGGTACGCTCAGAAACTCTACACGCGCAGAAAAAAAAAGAAAAACACAATGCATTCATGAAACTGCATGCTGTTTTCTGTGTGAAGGAAATACGAAAGTGCAATCACCATTTACTCATTTCCTCCTCTCGTTCTTTAGGAAATCTATATGCAGTGAGGAAAAAAGGTTTGTACTAATGCAGCTTTGATTGGTTTTCCTCTTTCATTGAAAAAGCCTTGCTTTCTGCTTTTTTGAACGTTTAGCTCATGCTGTGCTGCATCACATGTGCTGTTCTTTACATTATATTCTCCCCGGGGAAAAGAAACCAATGTCCCTCCAACATGAACTCCACAAGAAGAAGTCATTTCAACTGTCAGTGCACATGAAAAACCTAAATGTAGAATCGCGTTTGCCGCAGTTTGAGGTGCTGCTTTGACTGATGCACTTCATTAAAATGAACAACACATGTACTGCAGTTTCTCTTGGTATGACTTTATGAGGCCAATGCTTTTTTTCCCCAAAGCTTTCATTTGTGAGGATAGCAAACATGACTGAATAGATGAAAACTCGTAAGAAGGATAATGATGCCACTGCAAGAAGCCGACACTGTTACAGACATAGTTTAATGAGTTTCTTTGATTCGTTAAAAGCTCACAGAAAGTGTGTGGCTGAGGGACAATTGAAAGACATACATGGATCTATCTGACAACATGGCCACAGACTTGATAGTTGTTGTGGTGGTAGATTCACGCTGACTTTATCTATGAACCATCTCAAAGATTCAAGATGGTTGGAGGAGGAGGAGGAGGTGGAGGAAAAAGTGGAGGTCAAGAGTAAGAAAGCAAAAGGTATTCAATTACTATATTTCTGGGAGTGTGTAAATTAATTCTGCGTCGATAATAACAGATGAGTCCTGTCCCCCACCCCGTAACAGTAGACTAATGGAGACAGCAACAGGAAATCACAACTGAAACCAACTACAGTGAAACCAGTGTGTCATCAGTCATTTTCAGCTGTGCTCATCAACCCTGTCTCACAGAAAGTCTTCATCTATACAGCTACACTGCATTCTTAATTATTGTTGAGAACAAGTGTATTTTCTCGGAAAGGCTTTCATTTTGAAAGAGCCAAAATCCCACGGAGGGCCGTAGAATTTAGGTATAAGTCAGAAACAGCACCTTCACCTAGAAGACTGGGCTTTGGGTCCATTTTTGTTTAACCAAAATTTTGTTCACACTCACTGTTTTCTTTAGATTTTAACCTGCTGTTAGTTAGATTTAGTCACTAAAACTATGTGTTAAGGTAAAGGAAAATCTAGCATTTTGGTTGACACGTTCAAAATGCTAACTTCTTGTTGAAGCTTGATTGGGTTGAAAACTGAACAGGAAAGTAGCACTGTTTGGGTTAAAATACAACTCTTTGACAACATATTTGAAACTTTTCCTCCCTTTTCTGAATTACCAGGGTGGCAAATCTTACTAATCTAATTTGTGATTTGTTGATTGATATCTAGACTGGATATGTATTTTTTGCAGAAAGTCCTCGTTCAGCTCCTTCAAGTCAAAAAGAACATCAACAACATATAACAATCGAACATCATATTTACCATTCATGTGTAAAGGTTCTCATTACAGATGACAATTCACCTGCAGACATTAATACTTCACATTTCAGACGTGTCAAAATCATGATGATGAACACAGCTTTGGATTTTAAAATGGCTTGCCATAAAGATACGTTAATCAGACATTATGCTGTCCTCACTAAAAGCTGTTGGCAGGCAACGTGTTTTCAGCTATACAGCTAGCTTTACATAGTACTCATATTCTCCGATGTTACATCCTCCAAGGATCAGGTGATGTATTTGACAGGATTTAATGAATGGAAATATTCATACTTTTCACTTTGTAAAACTGAAAAAGAACAAAACAATACAAATATAAAGTACTTCTACAACACCATCAAATAAGGTGATAATTAACTTATACAAATATCTCAAATGTCTATACATACATGTAGAGAAATGTAAATAGTTTGCAAAACACACATAACGCTAACCGCAGGACTGGCACAATTAACCAGCCGGTCTCCAAAATACTACTCCAAAATACAAAGTATATATTCAAAGTACAGAAATGGTAACATAAACTTGTTAATTTAATATTTAACAGTGCATAACGCATACGGATGAAGTCGTTAATGTGGACTTTAATGCAAGGATTGACTGGATGGACAATCCAGTGTTCACTCTGTGCCCAGGAAGCCAAAAGGAAGTTCCAAGAACATTGCTTCCTGTTTCAGTGCAGCTGCCCTTTGGCTTCCACTAGATGGTGCTAAACAACATTCAAATGAACAAATGAACTGATTTACAATACAGACATGTAATTGTGATACAGCACAAACAAATGCGATCCAGGAGAAACTACATTTCCATCAAAACCTAATTCAGAATGCAATTTGGTTTTATAGAAATGTTAGTTTTAGGAGCAGGGTTGGTGCTAATATGGCTAACTGTTCTCATAAGAAAGTTTGGTGGTGTCTAACTGACTTACAATGCTAACTGCTGCCACTGAGCTTTGCAATATATACTAAACCTGTAAATGCAAATTGTTTATCCACTTAAGTCTGTATTTTCTTTGTTGCTTTCATGCTAATTTTCTTTTTTTCCCCCTGTCTTTCTGTGTTCCAGGAGAATTTCTACCGTCACGAAGTAAAGGTCTGTATGTTTTGTCATCTGCTTCAATTCAAGATACTTCATGAATCAACCATGATAAGCTCTAATAATTATTACTGTCAGCTACTATTTTATCATCACCATTAGTGTTATTATTATTGCTGAAGAGGAACATTTAAGAGGTAAATCACCATCACCTGAAGTCATTTTGCTCCCTGGGCTTTTAGTTTCTACTTGTCATTTTTGTAATCGGTGACAGATATGATTGTGACAGTTTTGAGTTTTCCCATTTCAGTGCTGATTAAAGATCATTCCAAGAGGAAAGGAGGCCCTTGAATTGCTGTAATAATTTGAATAACATGCTGTATTTCTTACAGTCATAGAGATGCAAGCAAAGAAGAAAACACCAGTGGTTGAAGCTGTGGAGGAGGAAGAGGAGGAGGGAGACGAGG